CTCCGCCGCTCACTCCGCCTCGGCCATCGCCGCGCCGCTGCTCCGCGCCCGCGCTTCTCTTCCCGATATTGCGGCCGCGGCTCCACAACAAAAGCTTTCTCTTTACCAAGACAGTAGTAATACGTCCCAGGGTAAACCGGATGTGAAATAGGCTGTGACTTCATGCCAGAGAGATTTTATTTTAGAAAGGAAGGTGGTACCAAGCTCTCATCTAGAGACCAATCCGCCCATTTTTTATATGCAGCACAATTTAACTTCCAGTGCTCTCGCCTTAATCCCTTTCTGGCTGCAGACTCAAATCCTTCTACAATCTGCAGCGTTATTGCTGCCCGGGGGGAGGCTGCGCGGCTGGGGGCGGCCAGCAACGCTCCCGAGCTTTTCACACTCGCAGTTTACAAAACAGGCTATTTTGGGGGCCGTGCATTAAAAACACAACTGATCCACGTTCACACTCCACCTTTGATCAAACATTTAATCATGGCATAAATATGAATGGAGGCTGGCTGGGAATGGGGGGATGCAGCAGTGCATGCAGAGCCCCCAGCTCCTGCACACCGAGAGGCGCAGGGTGGCAGCCAGGGATGCTCTGCAGTCGCAATGAAGCGCAGGTAGCTGGCGTTCTGGGGGGAAACTCGTAGGGAATCGGCTCCAGGACCTGCTGGATCTCCTGCACAGTCACAGGCAGTTTTCAGAGCAGGGGGAAGGACACGTGTGTTCATACAGAGCGGTCTCTTCCCGCACGGCACAGGACACAGGGGACTTCGCCAAGTGCTGGCTGCGGTGCTGCCCTCCCTGCCAGCCCCACACAGCCCCCTGGCCCAGAGTGCCAGGGCCATGTGCCCCTCACCAAGCCTCAGGCCCATTTGGCAGGGCTGCAAGTGCCACAGGTGCATGGAAGTGGGGCCCACGACCCCCGGCACAGCTGGGCAGCCGTGAGCCACCCTTCATGAGCGCCAAGTCACCTGCAGAAACACCCAGCCCCACCGCCTGTCTCGGCCACGGCACCGTTGGGTCTGGGCTTCCCCTTCTCCCACCTATGCCAGCTGCAGCCCACCCGTGGTTCCCTCCTATGATGCTGCTTCAAGGGAGGTCAAAATCCATGCATTTTTGTCATTGCTACCAGAATTGGGTCCCTCTGTCTCTGGAATACTGTCTTCTGCGAGCTGTAGCCACATTTTTCAATGAAATAGTGCACGTTCTACACATCCTCACAAAATGCAGTATTTGTTTGTCTTTGCAATAGTGTGAGAAGGATTTGATTTAACCCAGCAAGCCAATGACATTCATAGCTTAGGCTGGCAATAACTTCCAAGGTGGCAGGCATTTTGGATAAATGCCTGACTTAGAGCAGCCTAAACGCTGCAATGACTTCTCTAAGTACAAGGAAAATAGAGATTTTGTTTGCCAGAGTCCCCCGGTGCACTTTGTTCCCCCCGTGGTTATGATCAGCGCGGAACAGCCGCGTGTTGCGTTAGGGCCGTCTACCAGGGACGTTTGCTCGCTTCCCTGCCATCTCCCGTGTAGCTCGTCTCATTCTGATTCAAGGTTGTTTGTAGTGCACAAAAAAGTAGGGAACAGAAAAACCTACCGACTTCCCAAAGGAATTGTAAGTAGAGACTTTTCAGATCGCTAGCACACAGCCACGCTCTTAGTGGCTGGCGGTGTTTTCCAAATACATGCTGTTTCCACTTTCACATGCTGTTGGCTAATGTAATTTACTGTGTTTTTATTCTTATAGAGACATGTCGGAAGGTTTTGCTTAAGCAACAGTTAAGCTGAGCCATTAGCTGAGTTTACAAAAACAACAGATGGGCTTTTTATTAAAGTTTGTGGAAGATGTGTGGCTAGGAGACCTTGGGGATCACTTACGTGACCTTGTGTACGTGTGTGTACGCACACTTAAACGATTTTTTTCTAGGTGAATAGTGCACTTTTGTGAAAATGCAACCATGTTAAACATTGCCCCAATATTGCCCTTCTAGTACATTTGCTGTACATGTCTGTCTACGAATATACAGATATATGAACGGACAGGCAGAATGAAAAGTGAATATGTCTAGAGGCTCGTGTAAGGTGTGTTTGCCTTAAAACCCGTGCAAATGGGCAGCTGAAGTCGTCTGAGAACCAGTGAGTTGCAACTTTACATTCTTTCTTTCCCTTCCTGACTTATTTTAATTAGCATCTAAACAAAAACAACTATTTTTATTTTAGTAAAATGCTAAGGATTGCCAGGAGGGTCTTTGCCTCTGTAACACAACTGCAGTCGGCCAAAGGGTGACATGTTTTTTGGGGCTCTCTGTGAGTGAAAATATTGACCTAAAATAGGAAGTGCTCATTCTCTCTCTAATTCTCATCTCTTCAGAAAGTAGGACAAAACTATTTTTCCTTCATGGCTGAGATTCCTGCCCATCAGTGCTCACACATAACCCAGATTTTCCCTTTTCTTTTCAAGGGCTGTTATCCAGTTATCATGTCATTTCATAGTAAATGCTAAAAATATTTGGTTGTAATCAAATAAATGAGCTCTTCTATTATGGACTGTGATAACAAAATCACTGGCTTTTAAAGAAGGAACAATAAAAGAGAACATCTAGTTTTTTAAGGACAGACATAATTTTTGATATTAACAGGAACGTACTTTCGAAGAAGTGCTGAATGAGACACATCTTCTGCAGTTGTTTTCTTTCCCTCTCCCTCTCAAATTCTCTGCCTCAATCCAGGCACCACTTAACAAGTTTTTCAAACTTGTCCATGAGAGTTTGGCTCCAAGTCCATGGGTTTGGGCCTTGTATTTTAAAAGGCTGGGATAACTTTGAAAATCTCAGCTTATATATGTATATCTTACTAGCAGATCTTCAGGCCATATGATTTCAATCTCAAGTGAACTGCTCAAATGAGTAAGTAAAGATGCATTTGGACTTAATGTCTCCAAGAAGCTAAATATTAGCTGATGTGCATCTCACTGCACCGTTTTACCGTCGCATTTGGAAAATGAGGATGTCAAGAAGACCTGTGCTGTCTTCAAGCCAGTGTTATGACTCCAGAAAATATTCAGAAGGAGGTTATGTCATTCATCTTATAATAGAATGTAGCAGCTAAATCCTTTAAAAACAATATTGTTAAATCTAAACAGACAACCAAAACTAACTTGGCACAGCTACTGTGCGCAATGCTTTGAGCACTAATGTTAGTGCAAGTGATTAGTAACAGTGAAGTTAAACCAATGGAATCCTATTTTGGTTAAATAAATGAATTATATAGTGGATTAAAAGTGACGTAGACAGTTTTTTTTTTTTTAATTTTAAACTCCTAATTTCACATTATTTCTTGTTTTAGGATTTCTAGTAAATATTTTCTGAAGTCTGACCTATTGCTTCGGTGCCTGCTGATCTCTAGGTCATACACAAAATGCATCATCTGTATGTATTTATGAATACATATATAGTTTTACACTTGTGTATTTATATATGGTTATATGGTTTATATGGTTATATAAACCATATACACTTGTGTATTTATATATGGTTATACGTAGAAGAACATACGAATAACATATTTATATAGATCACTCTACTAGAAATTTATTTTCAATATTGCGTTTTTATGACATCGATGTAATTCTTGACTGTGTGTGCAAACTATGCATATGTTTTGCTTAAGTTAACTGGAATTTCCCAGCAGAATCCTGTGACACAACGTGTCCTGAATAGGCAAAGGATTTGAATACAGCAAATGAAACACAGAGATTTACTAGCATCGAGCAGATCAGATAAAGAATTAAAACGGCAAGCCCATCTGTTCCAGAGCTTTGGTCTCCATTATTTGCAAGTCCTGCTTGTGTGATTAAACAGAAATATTATGTTAAATATATCATTTGGATTTGATTTGTCATTTAATGCACTTCAAGAAAATACCAAAGAATGGCTATTGGCCCTTTGGCAGGTTTAAGGAAATGCGGTGTTTTTTTTTCCTCCAGTTTACAGGCAGCGAGGAACTTGAAGGGACACACAAATGAGAATCTGCATGAAAAGAAGTATTTCAAAGACTCTGTTGGAGGTGCAATACCCAGTGTAGAAATAGGAATGTTTTTTCTAGATCTGTGTTATAAAAATGGGATAAAAATGTAATATAGTGGTACTCAGAAACTTAGAAATGATGATTGATTATTGAATTCTAGAGTTCCTAAATATGATACTTCAGACAGAAAAGCCAGTTACTTACAAGTTTTTCAGCCTTTCTAATCCATAGAAACAACAATTTATTATGCTATGCTGTTGCCAAACATTGCCGCAAAATTCAATCTGTAAAGCTAGCATTGTAGGATTCTTTCCCAGATAATAATAGTATTTCTTGCCTGATGTCAGAAAGGAAGAATCGGATGATAATCAATTTCCAAAAAGAAAAGAAACAGAAAAAAGAATTAATGTAGAATTAACGAAAGCAATGGGAAAGGACAAAGTTCATGCCTGGGAGCTTGTAGGGATTACAAGACTTTTGTCAATCCCGTGGTTCATCGCCGAGATCTTTTTCAGGGAGCTTTTCCTACACCAGCCGGATTTCTGTGGAAAGGAGGCCAAACTCCTCATTCACTCCTTTGCACCTCTGGCCTTCCTGGGCTTTCGCAGTGCCTTTGGTGTAAACTCACACCAATTCCTAGTTCGTACGCTGTCCTCGCAGGGGGGGGAGGACCTCCCCCACAACCTGGGTGTCACTTGGTCACACTTCAGGAATGTGATTTGGGTGCTCACTGCTCTTCTGCATTGCACCGAGAAGTAAAGATTTCTTTGGGCCTCATACCTTGCAATTATGGCTGGCAATTTGGCCATATTCCTGCTAACCAGTGAGCTGCCCGGTAATTTCATATTTGCTTACACAACCAGACTGAGCCATAATTATGATTTTTCCTAAAATCCAGAAGGGTGAAATCTATTTTAAAAAGAAGAATCTTGGAGGATCTGAAGTTCTTGAATCCTGATATTTTAAGATTTTTTATCCTTTTTAAAGAATACCTAGCTACAGAATGTTTAGTGTATTAATAAGCTCTCGTTACCTGGGGGTATAAAAATAAATGAATATGGAAAGAAAATAAAGCAAATCTTTCCAGAGAAAAGAAGCAAGAAAATGCCTTTTAAAAAATGAGAAAAAAATACAGTAGGGCTACATACAGTTCGTTTACATTGGCCTGAATTCCGAGAGATGCTTAAAAGCTGTTTAAATCTATCTCTATTCAGCAAAATGCATAGAAATCGAGTCCATGCCAATAGGTCATATGTATT